TATCTCTTCTCTCTCCTGCCAGCTGACAAAACAGCCGCTCATGCCCGGCGTGGCAGGGCCGCCCGGCCCCCAGGGTTTGCCCGGCTACCAAGGGCCTCCGGGCCCTCAAGGCTATCCCGGGCATGAAGGCATCCAAGGCCCCCCTGGACCGCCAGGCCGTGAAGGGCAGCAAGGACCCCCCGGCCCTCCAGGGCCACTTGGGGCCCCCGGGCCGCCGGGCTTCCCAGGCCCCCCAGGGCCCGACGGCACCCTTGGGCTTCCAGGACTCTCAGGGCCTCCAGGAGCTCCAGGGCGTGAAGGGCCCCCCGGCCCCGCAGGGCCTGTGTCGCCACCAGGAACCCCGGGGCCTGCCGGGGAGCCAGGATACCCTGGGCCAAAGGTAATGAGCCGATCGGGCCGAGGGGGGCACAGGGCCATCACCAGAGCAGCATGGGAGGGTCTGGCCCAAGGCAGCAGATGCCAAGCGGGTGCAGGCTCCGGTGGGACCCACCGGGGCAGCGCTGCTCACACCGACGTGACAGCGGGTTGTCCCTGGAGAGGGGAGTGTGGTCAGGACTTCGGGGTTCTGTCCCCAGCTCCATCACTGCAAGTAGTCATTTTCCTGCCCCGTGCCTCAGTTTCCCCAGCTGTGGGGCGGGTTTAATGCCAGGCCCCACCCCAGACACTGTTTGCAGAGCGCTGGGTCCCGCAGATGGGCCGGGATTGTGTGTTCTTGGCTCTTTCACCCCCTGTGCTCTGTCCCTGCAGGGCGAGACGGGTGATCTTGGCCAGCCCGGCCCTCCAGGCAGCCCCGGCTTGATGGGAGAGAAGGGCTCCCATGGCCCGCCCGGGCCCATGGGGCCATCAGGACCACCTGGGGAGAACAGGGTGAGTGTGCACGAACTCGGTCGCATCTCGCCTGCCTGCCAGTGCCTGGAGCTCCCAGAGACACCCATGGGAGCGTTGTGCCAGGCTTTGGGGGGTCCTTGGCCTCGGGGGGCACAGGGGTTGCAGTGGGGAGGGTCACATGCTGACAGCTGTGGGGGGATCCGGGGTGGGAATGTTTCACGGCCTTTGTGCTGGTCTAAAAGGCGACCCTGGGTGTGTGGGGTGGGTCCGGCCCCCCTTGTGCCGTCACGCTGGGCGAGGGCCCAGACAGCCCCTCACAGCCGTGTTCTTCTCCCTGCAGTGTGACCCACACTCTTCAGGGCACCCCAGATGGCCTGGCCCGCCGGGCCCCAAGGTGAGTACTGGCAGACAAGGGAGAGCGCCCCCTACTGAGCCCCCTGCCCCATTCCCTGCAGCACAGTGACCCCTAGCACTGCACTGGGCCACTAATCCCCCTCCCTGCAGCCTTGGCAATCCGTACAGGTAACCCCCCCTCCCCCTCCCGCTGGTTGTGCTGCCCCACGTGGGCTCTGGGACACAGAGGAAAGTCCGAAAGTCCATCTTCAGAACTGCAGCACTTGGCTTCCCCCCCCACACCCCTGCGCCCCCCCCCCCCGCACGCTCCCCCTCCCCCGCCACAGGGAGGCCTCTCCCCCGCCCTGCAGCTCCCACCCTGGGCAGGAGATTTCCCAGCATAACACGCATGTTTGGATGAGTCCGGGACATTAGGTGTGCAAAGTCAGGCAGAGATCCCCGCCTCTCCGCCCCCTGTTCTGTTCCTGGCCCAGTGGTACAACCCCCTGCTCCGGGAACAGCCCCCTAGGGCGGCTTTCCTTCCTCCGCTTTTAACCCTCCCCTGGAGCTCCCTTCTGCTGTGCCCGAGAGACGTGCGGGCTGTCAAATACTCCCCTTTGGCCTAGGCACTGGGGTCAGGGCTCCTGGTTCCGGCTCAACCGCCAACCCTGCCGTGTGACCCCAGGCAAGCCACTGCAGCGCTCTGTGCCTCAGTTTCCCTGTGTGTATGAGAGGACGGCTCCCACTTCCCGGGGGCACTGGGGCTGGGCGAGTGGGGACCCCTGGGAGAGCCGGGGCTCTGATAGGTCTGTCTCCTTTTTGTACAGGGTGAAAAGGGAGACCCCGGAGAGCAGGTGAGTAGCCATGGAAACGCGACGGGGAGCCAGCTGTGCCGCTCCATGGCCCTGGCAGTGCCGGGGCTGGCATAGTGCAGGCAGCCATTGGGAAAGGGTGCCCAGGGCACCTCCACCCGATGCCGTTCCATCCATCCGCCAACGCCCCTCCGCCCGGACCCACTGCAGGACAGACTGCCACGGCCGGGCCAAATCCATTGCGGGGTTGGATGGGGGCCAGCCAGAGACCGGCCAACTCATTTCCCTTGGGAACTAAGCCCGATTTCCAAAGTCCCAGTGCCCCAGCTCCCCACACGCCTGGCCCCAGCGGAGATCACGGACCCTCTCTCTTTTTCTTTGCTGGCTCACCAGGGATGCCGCAGCTGTCCTGGGGAGGCCGGGTTCCTGCCAGGCCACCCTTCCTTCCCTGGCTCCTGGGGCCCGCACGGATCCTGGGTGCCACTGACATACCAAGAGGTTTGTCCGAAGTCGTTGGCGTGTTCTGGGGGGGCTGTTAATGCCATGAGACCAGGGGCCTGGGGACTGTCTGTGGGTGGGGAAGGAGCCCCTCACCCACCTCTGCTACACTCCAGCTGGAGCCGACCCAGCACCCCTGCCAGGCCCATCACCCCCACAATAGCCCAGCCAAGCCCCCGCAAGGCAAGGGGCACGGCATGGGCGTGCCCAGCGAGCACCACCCTTCCTGTGAGCCCGAGGCCGGGGGAGACAGCCAACCGAGCTGGGGAGCGAATGGGCTGGCTGGACGGATGAGCGTCACTGTAGATCCGGGCCCCCTTCCCTGACCTGCGCCCGCCCGTCCACAGGAGACTCCCCCTGTTCTCTCTCTCTCCCTCTACAGAACGGCAAAGTAGAGACGGAGATTTACGGTGCAATCGTCCCCCACGTGAGTTGCGGCCCGGGACGGGCCCAGACCTTTCCTGCACTCAGACTCCGGCAGGCTGGGTGCTACCCTGTTGTTTGCAGGAGGCCCCGGGGGCGGGGTTCCTGGGGGCTCGGAGATCCTAGACCGGGCAGGAAGCCGGGCACTGAGTGGAGGAATCCATCTGGCTGGGGAGGAGAATGAGGCAGGGTTTAAGGAGGGCCGTGAGAGAGCAGAGGGAGGGTGCCCAGTGAGCAGGGCAGGGGAGGCTCTGGGGAAAAGCTCGGGGACGGGTGGGCAGAGAGATGACAGGCAGGCCCTGGTCCGGTAGCACCCTCTTCCCCGGGACACGCAGCACCAGCCCACGAACAGATCCACTGCCAATTCTGTGCTGATCTTTATTTCAGGGTCCCCCCGGCCACCCCGGAGCACCAGGCCCCCCTGGCCCCCCAGGGCCCCCCGGAGCACCAGGCGTCGTCTACGTCAATGTAAGGATCCCGGCCGATGGTCGGGCGTGCGTTTGCGCCAGTGCTCGGTTACCAGACTCAATGCAAACCAGCCTGTCTTTGATTTCAGAGGGTTTATCCCGTCCGCACCAGGCCGTTCTGCAAACAGCCGGTAAGACATGGGCCTCCTGGGCCCCCTGCCAGCCTCCCTGCTGCCCACAGCCAGACCCAGGGCAGCAGCGGGATCGTGGAGGGACTAGGGACCCCCAAGTCTTTGAGGCTGCTCAGCTCCTGCCTAGGGTGCCCGGAGCAGAGGGCAGGGCTGGTTCCTGGGGCAGACCCTTCCCCTGACCCCCGCCCGGCCTGTGCTCTCTTGCGGCTCACGGCTCAGGCACTGTTTGGATCTGCCGCTCGTCCCCCTGTAAGCCCAGGGCCCGTTCAGCCAAGCGTGCAAATCACCCTCCGTCCCTCCTCGGGCCGGAAATACCCCGCCAGGATGGCCCTCGCACTTCCCCCCAGACAGGAGGAATGGCTTCTGCCCCAGCCCCTCTCCCGCTCGCCATCCCAGCTGCCCCGTGCCACCAGAGACGGGCCCGTCTCGTCTGCGATGGTCTCGCGCTGATAGAGCCACGTTTACTTGGTTTTTCCAGGTGACTCACGACGCGGCTGGGCTCTCAGGTAGGGACATTGCTCTCGGCATTTCAGGGGGACGTGGACCAGATTTCAGGCCCCGTTAGCAGAGTAATGGACCCTCCTTGGCCTCCCCACACCCGTCCCGCACTCCCTTGGCCGCTGACTCCCAGGGCACGTGGGCGGCACCTGCAGTGCTTCCAGGAGCCTGCTGCAGAATATTTCCAGGGGAAGGTCTGTAGCTCTCTGAGCTGCCTCTGGGCTGCCCCAAAGCCCTCCTGGAGTCAGTGGGTGTCTTTCCCCTGGCTCCCATGAGCTCTGCCTTGGTGCCTCGGCGATGGTGCTGCCCCCACGGCCCCACGAGACAGCTGGGCTCACAAGCCAGGCCTTGTCCTGGTCTCACTGAGCCCAGGGGAGGCATCTCCCCTTGCCCGGCTGGGACCCTGCGGCCAGCTAGGAGTATTTGTTAATGAGTGTTCTCTGTCCTCTCCCCCTGATCTCGAGAGGTCTCCCCGTCCTTGTGACGGGCGCTGCGTGAGGACCTCCCCTCTGGCTGAGTGCCTGCGGCTGGGCAGGCCTGGGGGCCAAGGGCTCCCTGGCGCTGCCTGCCCATCATCTCCTGCTTCAGGGCACCCTTGGGGTTTGCTTTGGATTGAAAAGTATCTGGGAAACAGGGAGACCCAACCAGTGCCCCGCCCCACCCCTGCCAAGGAAGAGCCGGGAAGCGGCACCTTCCTTGAGTTCTTAGCGGGCCGCTCCCCTGCGAGAACCTCGCTGGCCGTACCCTGGTATTACTGCTTGGGGCAGTCGGGCTCCAGCTCGGCTTCCCTGCCCAGTGGAGACAAAGGGTTCCTTTACTCCTTAGCCCCAGGGGCCCTCTGGAATGGGGCTAGAGCTGGGCTCTTGGACGAAAAGGCTGCCGCTCCGTGCACACCAGCCTAGATCCTGCCAGGAGCCACGGGGTGGGTAGCGGGGAGCAGGGTCTGCTCTCCCCGGCCGGCCAGAGCTCTGCCGAACCCACCCGTACAGTGGGAGCCTGACGTCTCTGTCTGCTGCTCTCTAGATGCTGAGTTGTCTCAGAAGGACGTGCCTGACCCCCCAGCTGACTCCAGGGTGTGTATTGGACTTTGGCATCTTGTAGCATCCCTTGTCTTCCTTCCTGGCAGTGGCTTTCCATGCCCTGAGCAGCCGGGGGCGGCAGAAAGCTAGGACTGGCCAGCGCAATGAGGAGACTCATCCCTAAGGGCACCTCCACCACGTCCCAGGGACGTCAGCTGCAGCAAACTGCCTCAATACACCCCTCAAACCGTGTGGCAAGCACGTTGGCCCACCCACACCCCGGGCATCATGGGGCTTTGAATGCATCCGCTCCCTAGCGTCCAGCACCATTGGTGGGAGCCGGGGGTTTGGGTTATCTGCATGGGGGAAAAATCACTGGAGACAGCACCGTCCCGAGCACAGGACCCGTCCCAGGTGTCGCAACCTGGTGCCACAGCCGCTGCTTGGGCTGGGGGCTGCTGTGCTGGACGGATCTAGGACCCTCCCGGCTGTTGCCAGCTTGGGGTGGTCCAAGTGACCGATTGGTGGTGCCAATCTGCGGGTGGAATGGCAGGACCACGGCTCAGGGTGTCTCTGCGGTCTGGCCGCTAACCCGTAACTGCTGCTTCTCCTTCCCTCAGCATCACACCTGGGTCTTCAAGTCAAAGGAGCTGATGTTCAAATCCAGCTCGTCCGTCCCCGAAGGGAGCCTGGTCTACGTCAGAGATGAGAACAGCGCCTTCATCCGAACCCCGAGAGGCTGGAGCAAGCTCCTGGTACAGGAGCAGCAATCAGAAAATGCCAGAATCCAGAGGGCCAGGGCTGGGGTTTCTGGATCGCTAGCAATAGCTAATGCTTGGTGTTTCCATGGCGCCTCTCCTTGGGTTCCCATGGCGCCTTTCTCATGCAACCTGTCAGTAGTGGAGAATAGAATCCCTGACGTACAGTCCCTGAGATTTGGTGTGAAATGCTCCAGTACCAGCAAAGGCAGCTTAGTGAGCTGTTAAATGGGTTTTCTTTAATACACCTACTTACAGGGAGAAAACAAGTCAAGCCAAGGGGGAAAGGAACAAAAGTCACCAACTTTTGTAGAACTTCTCCAGGTTTCGGGGGAAATTCCCCGCAGACTTCTCCTCTGCCAGGCACTAGGCTCCCAAAGGAAATGTTCATTTCCAATAAGAGTCCAGTGGAAAATGGGGACAGGTTTCCCTTACGGGAATCATATGTGAATAAAGCCACAGGACTAGATCGAGACCTAACACATCCTTCTCTCTCTCTCTCGCTTGTGTGATTTTGCTCAGCTGGAAGATTCGGATTCCATATTGGCTGGCGATGACCCTTCTGTGTCCACAGAACATCATCAGGTGAGGACTCACTCGTGACTAGTGCATCTAACCACCACCGCTGACCTGTGTCACCAGAGAGGCCATGCTCGGACTCCGGCCATCCGCCCTTGTCTTCACTGGGGAGTTTAGCCACCAGCATTGTCACGTGGATGTGAACTCTGGGCGTGGACAGGGGCACATGCAGAAAGCTCACACTAGTGCAATGGCTCTACACTAGGGTTTGCACCAGGGTCGCTGTCCCTGTGTTGAATAGGTCTTGCACACCACGGATCAATTCTGCCCCGCTGTAGGCAGCTACAGCTCCATCGACTCCATGGAGTGATGTCCACATCCAGCTGTGACCTGAGTTCCTCTTACTCCAACCCAAGGCCTGAGCTCTGACAATGCAGAACTGGGACTCTTCCGCCAGCCAGCCTGGCCTGGCAAGCTGCTTTGCTTCCCAGCGGAGCCTGCCCAGGTCCCTGCAGGGCACACTGAGCGCGAGAAGGGTGTGGACGTGCCCTGTGGCTGGGGAAATGACTCCGCACCACAAGCGTGGCTGGTCCGGAATTCTCACCCAACAAGAAGCGCGACAGCCGTGGGGTGGCCACTCGCTGGAGGGGTTCAGGCCAGGGAAGGAAAGCGCCAGGCTGAGGAAGGGCAGCGCACGTGGCCTCTCCACCCCTCCCGCTCCCGAGAAGGGAGATGTGGGGCCGGAAGGAAGCAAGGAATGGGAAGGCCGCCCGCCCCGCCCGGCCCTGGGGCTAAGCGTCTTGCTCCGGGGATATAGAAGCTCAGATGCTGCAGTGATGGGGGTGGACAGGTAGCGCGGGAGAGGCCATTCGGGGGCAGGGAAGCAATGGGACACCGAGCTCAGGGCGGGATGGGCCCCTGGGAATTCATCGATTTCAAGGCCGCAAAGGACAACTCTGACTCCCTGGTCTGCCCTGCTTTATAACACAGGCCCGAACCTCCCTCCATGGAATTCACGTTGCCATGGTAGCCTGGACAAGGGCTGTGTAGAGCCCGTTAGTCGGACCCAGTGTGAGATCCGTGGGGCCGGGCCCTTGTCTCCACCAGGCCTGTGATGTGCTGGGCACGCCCGAGTCTGCTCCAAATGGGTAACGTCCCTGGAGGCTAACGTGCTGTGTGTTTCCTAGGTCCCAAAGGAAGGGAGTCAAGCAGCCACCGGGATCCGGCCAACTAGCATCACCCTGAGGGTGCCTTCGGTAAGCCGTGGGCTGGCCTTCCCCTTCCCCTGGGACTGCTGGGTGCTAATGAGGGATCCCTGGGACTCCCAGCTCCCCGTCCCCAGCAACGTGGAGGCAGCTTGCGGGGGGCGGGGTGTCACTCCCAGGCTGATCCAAGCTGCGAAGGATCCTCCCCCAGCCCAGCCAGGGGCTGTGATATGGGATCTGCAGGGCCGGAGGCTCCAGGGCAGAGCCCAGCGCCTGTCCAGTCAGCAGCCAGCAGAGCTCTGGCCCACGTGCAGTTCCCGTCTCTGCTTCGGGGAACGACGTGCCGCGGTGCTCAGTCCGTCCCAGAGACTCGGGCTTCGGCTGTGTGATCTCTCAGCGCCGGCAGGCCTGCTCCGAGACAGCACCATTAGCACGAGGTTTCATGCCATGGGCACCCCGTCTGGTTTACAGGCCCCAGAGCATGCGACACCCTTGGGTGCTGGTGCCCTGTTGAAAGACAGACCCGCTAGAGCTCCCCCCACCCCGCCTGTTCCTGTTAACCCCTCTGCTTTCTCAGCTCCGCCTGGTCGCGCTGAACTTCCCGCTGCCCGGCAATATGAACGGGCTCAGCGGCGCAGACCTGCAGTGCCACAGGCAGTCGCAGGAGGCCCAGCTGTCCGGCACCTTCCGGGCCTTCCTGTCGTCCCCTACGCAGAACCTGGTCTCCATCGTGAGAAGGACGGACAGAGCTCTGCCCGTCGTCAACCTGAAGGTGAGTAACAAAGTCTGATCACAGCAGCGTTGGTAGGGGAGCCGGCTGCAGCCCAGCGATGGTGCTTTGGAGCCTCCAGGAAAATGGTTTAAAACGTTTCTCAGAGACTCCCAGAAGCTAAAACCCACTGGGCCATCTGGCCTTTCCCCCTCAGCAGGACCGTGCCCTATTCTCCCGGGCACTGTTCAGTTCCAGTGTCCACCGAGAACCCTCCACAGCCAGAGCCATCTCACTGAGCCTGAATGGACCCCTGGCCACTCAGAGCACCCCGTGCCTTCCGGCTTGTTTGCAATAGAGACCAGTGCATGGGAGTCCCCATGAACCCACCTGAACCTGGCCTGGTTCCGATCTGGGAATTCAGGCCAGGGCTGGCCAGCCCCTGGCCCGTAAGCCTGGTTCGCTGCCTGGCCGGCCCGGTACAAGATGAAATCTCTGTGATCGCTCGCGCTCATCGCGCTGATTCCAACGGCAGGGGCAGCTGCTGGCGAAGACCTGGAACTCCCTGTTCGGAGGTGATGGTGCCGCCCGCTTCAACTCGCTGCGTTTTCCCATCTACACCTTCGACGGCCGGAACGTGCTGACGGATCCCAGCTGGTGAGCGCGGGAACGGGAGAGCGTCGCAGCGTGCGAGCGAACTCGCCGCCTGCCCAGAGCACAGCGGGGCAGTCGCCGGGGCAGTCGCTGCGCGGAGACCTTGGTGGGGAGGGGATGATGCAAAGAGGTCGTTCCTAAGGAACCGTAATTGCCTGACGAGACCCCCACTCCCCCTCCCCTGGTGCGGGCTCCGCCCCTGGAGAGAGCCCTGTAGCAAAGGACCTGGGTGTGAAAGGGTTTAAACCAACCCCCTCCCCACCCATAAGTGGCACTTCCAGGAGCTTTGCACAGGGTATGTTGGTTGGTTATCTATGACGCTGTTGCATGTATTTTAATTAGGACCCCAAGGCCGGGACTCTGTTCCTGGGGCCTGAAGTGCCTGGGAACCAGTCAGAAGGGAAGATTTAGTTGCAATCGCTGCCCCCGCCCCGCTCCCCGATAACCTCTGGCGGTGAGGGAGGCTGGGGCTGGCTTCTCAGCTGGGAGGGGAGGCTGCGTGAAGTCTAAGCAGTTCAAGGGTTAACCCCAAAGCTGAACTTTTCAAAAGCAGCCGCTGATTTGGCGGCCCCGGGTGGAGCCACGCGCCTGGGGCCGGGTGCACCAAGCTCCCCTTGGCTTCCCCTGGAGGATGGGCACCCAGCACTTCTGAAAATCAGGCCCTGCGTGGCTTTCTGCTGACCCTCAGTGATCCCAGCCTGGCACTGTCTCCTCAGGGCTCACAAGGCGATCTGGCATGGCTCCAGCCCGCGTGGGCACCGAGCCCCGAAGGAGGACTGCCAAGGGTGGCGGGCCAGCCTAGCCGAGGGCTTTGCCTCTCCCCTGGCCGAGGGGAAGCTCCTGGCTGAGCAGCTCCGCGACTGCTCCAACTCCCTGGTCGTCCTGTGCATGGAGATCAGCTTCCCGTAGCTGCACATGTGGTGATGCGAGCCGCTGTGGGGCAGCTAGCGGGGGCCGTGGGCTGGTGATCCCACCATAGCTGGATACGACCAGGAGAGCTGACGGTCACCTGCCAGCCCTGGGGCTGCTCTTGGCTCCGGGGCTATTTCACCATTATCCCCCGTAGTGGAGCCAGCCTTGTACCCATAGCCAGAGGGGTCTATCCTTGACCAGGAGGGGGGTCCATATGTGCAGAATAGAGACCAATGGAAAGGCTACTAGGATGCCTCCCAAACTCAGAGCCATGCCACCGCTGAGCCATCTCCCCGAGGCGTTGGATCTAGTTAGTTAGCGCTAACCACGGGGTCTCCCCAGGAGAGGGGGCCATTCCCCCAAACCAGTGCCCCATTGAGGTCCCAGGCATGCACTGCAGTGAGTGCTGGGGTGCAGATGAGGGCTGGGTTTTGGGGCCAGCGTTCTCTGCACTGGTGCTGTTGTGCAGCTCCGCCAGGGACTCTCTGGAAGCGAAACGCTCTTCTCCTGTCACCAAGTCGGTGGGGAAACCTGCCAGAAGCGGTAGCTGTGCCTCCACCCCCCCTCGTTCTGCCTCTGTCAACTCCCAGCTGCTCCCCCTCCTGCCTCTGCCAGCTTGGGCTTGGGTTCCCGATGGACATTGCCCCCCACCCTCCAGCCCAGAGGTTCTGTCCCTAGTTCTGGCTTTTACCAGCCGCTGTTCCCGAAGCAATCAGTGGAGAGATGCGGGGAAGGCGGGGACAGTGTGCTGGGGTTTTCTGTGTGTATATAGATAGATAGGCCTAATGCAGCCTGGTAATATCAACCTTTCGGCTGACCGGCGTCATGGCAATGGTCGGGCTTTACAAGCTCCAGAGAGAGGGGTGTCATTCGGGACTCTCGGTGGCCACACGCTCGGCCTGTGAGCTTTGAAAACAACCGTGTGCTTTAGCTGGCAATAAACATGTTCCACGTTTTGGGTTTGGGACGCTATTTAAGCTCTGAGCATTTGGATTCTAATAGCGCCTAGCGCTCCCAGGCAGCGCACAGACAGAACCAAGAGCTGGCTGCTGCCCCAAAGGGCTTGTATAGGGGGCAGATCTTCGTGTGTTCAGTGCCCACCATTGGAGCCAGGTTTTCTCAGCTCCCTTGCCGGGCATGTCTATGCTGCAGCTGGGAGCCAGCCTAGGTAGACGGACTTGCTCGAGCTCACATGTTAAAAATAGCAACGTGGACGTCTGGCTCGGCCTGGAGCGTGGGCTCCGGAACCCAAGGAGTCGGGTGGACGCGAGAGCCCGAGCGTCCGCCTGCACCGGAACAGCCACACTGCACAGGCCAGTCTGCGTGCCCTGGGAGACTCGGTCCCAGCTGCGGCGTACACGTACCCGGCAGCACCTAGCCAAGGGACGGGTTTTCAGAAGCGCTCCGCATCCAGCCACCTCCTGCTGCGCCACCTGCGCCCACAGTTCCAGGACTGCTCGGCACGTGGGCCAACTGCAACCTTGGGGAAGGCCAGAGCCTGCTTCTGAGTGCTGAGCTGTTGCAAACCTGGTCCATGAGGAGAGAGCTCAGGTGGCTCCAATAGTCAGCCGGGAGGCTGAGTGAACAGACGCAGGAGCCTCTAGCTTTGCAATGATTTCCTCACAGTGGCAGGCCCCTGGTCAGGTTGGTTTTCCAAGCCAGGGTTTCTCTTCTGCTAGCGATTCGCCACCCACGGGATCATTTTCCCCTTCACGCAGGCTGGGAGTTTGTTCTCTGGCCCCAGCCAGGCTTTCGTGTTCTGACCCCAATAAGCTGAAGCAGGGCTTTGTGGTCTGGGCACTGAGTTGGGGGGGCCGTGGGCTCCTCAGAAGTACCCTCACGTCGTGGCTGCCTGGTTGGCGGGCTCAGACAAGGGATGCAGGAGCATGAAGAGCGACCTCTCCGGCCCCTGGGAGGAGTCTCTGCAGGCCCAGGTTGAGGTGCTCTGGCGGGGGGCAGTGAGTGGAGTTTGCACAGCTGCTGCCCAGGACGTGCCCCTTCTGGGGACAACTGGAGGACATGCTGCTGCTCCTTTGACCAGCAGCATCATGCAGCTTAGACTCTCTGGAATGAAAACAGGCGTTGCAGAAGTGCAGCAAACTCCTAGGCTGTGTGAAGCAAAGGATCGGCCCCCTGCAGAGCCCCAGAGGGCAGCCACCGGCTCCTTGCAATCAGTAAACAGCCCTGCCCTTGCGGTAGCATTGCCTTAAGCAGCCTTCCAGGCAGAGCAGGGGCCGGTACAGTCCTCTGCTGATCCCAACCCAGCAACCACTCCAGGAAGGCGGGAAGCCAGGAAAATAGACAGGCTGTCGGCAGAGGCAGAAATGACTGTGACAGTCCCAGACTCGGGAAGGTTAAAGGGACACCATGCTGGGGGAGGGAGTGTCGTAATGCTTTACAATAACGTCTTCTTCCCACTGATTTTATATAATATCCTATAATCCGGTGGTTCTCAATTTATTTATCATTGTGGGTTACATATGCAGCCCACAAACAATGTGTTACCTGGGCCGCAGGGGCCGGGTGACAGGACAGTGGTAGCTGCCGACCACCCACCTGCCCCGGACCCCCACCGTGTGGGGCCAGCCAGCTGCCTGCCCCGGACCTCTGCCCTTCGGGGCCAGGTGGCTGTCCCAAAGCTTGTGGCACCGGGTGGCAGCCCCAGATCTTGCCGGGTCAGTTGGCAACCCTGGGGCTTGTGGGGCCAGCCGGCAGCCCCGGACCCTGGACCCCCAATCCTGACCCCACCGTGCGGGGCAGCCGGGAACCCAGACCCCACCACGCAGGCCAGCCTTTAGAACACAGCTGAGCTGGGCTGCAGCTGTGTGCTAATTGGGCTGCATGCTGCCCAGGGTTGAGAACCCCTGCTATAATCAATCAAACGTCAATCTGCAATTAATTTGTCTGTCTGATCTTTTCTCCTCCCTGTGCACACACATTGGTTTGGCACTGCAGGGTCATTTGGGAGCGCGGGGCAGCTCAGACTGGGTTGGTCCTGTACGGGTGTTTCTGAGCACAGCCTTTATTTTTAAAGGGGGGGAAAAAGCAGCGCCCATGTAGCAGTGACCCCTTCACAAGGGGAATCAAATTGCAAAGCCCCCCCCCAGGCTCCTGCTTTTCAGCCTCTTGTTTTCAGAAGTGTGAACAGTCTCGTTTAAATCCAAACGTGTCACTGACTTAAAAACACTCAAACTGCCTCCCCTGGCCGTTCTGAAAAAGGTTTTGAAGTGGGTGAAACGTCCACCTTCAAGCACGCTCTCCAGTTTGGGCGTGGCCGTCCCGACACCCAGGCCCTCATCTGCGAAGAGCTGAGGCCCCTGCACCCTCCTCATCCTGGCTAGAGCTGTGGATGTTTAGCACCTCTGCAAGTCAGGCCCCCAGTGCCTCCTATGGGCACTCAGAGAGAGAAGCACCACTTGTGACCAGCTGGGTTTGAACCAGTAACTGGGGTCTGAACCACTGCCAAGGAGGTTTCCCTTCTGGGGCTCACTGCACGGCCAATAACCCTGGGGAGATGGCGTAATCCAGTCTCATGATGTCACTGCACTTGTGTCTATGACCTCACGGGATTCTGGACTGCACAGAAAGACCATCTCATTGTTTACATCCCAAAGGGCTGTTAACTGTAGGCAGCACAGGAGGCAAGTCAGCTCCCCGTGACCTCCGCTCCAACATCCCAAAGGACAGCGGATGGAGGCAGCAAGATGAGCGGACGGGGAGACTGCATGAGGAGAACACCAGCAGCTCTCTGGAGAGGTTCCCAGGCAAGGGCAGATTTGCGATTCAGTGTTAATGGCCAAGGCAATGGGCATCCCTGCATGTGTAAAGCCTAGTTAGTGCGTGCCGATCCTCAGGGTAAAAGCTGCCACAGAAACACAAGGTCAGATTTGCCATTGCCGTACAGTCCCTTTGTGCTGGCCATGCTGCCACAAAGGAGCCAGAGAACAGGTGTACGTGAGGTCCCTCTGTGCCTACCACCGGAAAAGGGACCCTCTCCCCAAGGCGCCAGACTGTGTGCCACACCTGCAGAAGACCCCCACTCCTACCCTTTCCCAGCGCAGGGGGCAGGCTGGGGATGCCTTGGAGGAGGGAAAGGGCAGATCAGGTGTAGGAGAAGGGGTTGCTAGGGCAGTCCTGTATCCCACTGATTCCTGGCTGCCACGAGCCCAGAGGAGCTAAATTGTCCTAGTCTGTGCCAGGGACTAAACTGACCCGTCAATACCTTCTGAACAGGGAAAAGGCAGCCTACCTCTCATATGCCCTAGTGCTGGTGCAGGAATGAATCCCCCTGATAATAAATTAAGGGTAAATGTGGCATTTTGACAGAAATGTGGGTAAATGTCCCAAACCTTCAGTCTGTACTTGGGGAAAACTCCCCTTGGTCCGTGCAAAGACTGCGGGCAGCCAGGACTGACACAGGATTTCTGATATTACCATTATATCTTATTTATTTAAACAAGCCAAATATTACAAAGGTGTACTAGGTGAAAGTTCCTAGAAACAAACGTGATCCTGCCGACTTTGGTTTCACTGTCTAAACAGAGTAAAGTGCAAAAAGTAAACAAGTAACTTAAAGGAGAAAGCAGATTAGGGAATTTTTTTTAAAATTCTCTTTAACAGTAGAAGGTGTCCTATTAATAAAGAGGCAAAGGAAGGAATTACTGCAGAATTTAAGATCTCTCTCAAAAAAATAAAGCTTCCAGCCCTTATATCTTCCAAACTGGACTGGGTTCTGCTGTCTTCCTGGGTCTGCGACCCATGTGCCTGAAACACCACATCTCAACAAAGAAGCCTAATGAGGATGATCTAGAAGCCGCAACCCTTAACTATTTCACTGTTGATCACATTAGCAGAAAGATCCAGCAAAAGAGCTTGTTGCGCTGGAGGTCAGTCGGAAAAACCCCGTAAAGACACGGGGCCCATCCTAGTGGCTAGAAAAATCTTGTTTCCTGCAGCCGATTCCCACCCAGGGCTTTGTCCAGTTTCAAATTTCACCACAAACCGGGGCTTCCACCACTTCCCTTGGAACGCCTGCTGGTGGACGTAACATGATCAGAGGCCGCCACCTTCCCTACAAGCCGGCTCCTCTGCATCGCACCCCTGGACCCCCCACGCTGGCAGCGACTGAGAGTGGCGGGCGGGGACGAGCATGGGGACGGCTTTGGGGAGGGGAGGCAGCACCTGGGCTCAGGGGTGAGTCCCACACGCCCCAAGGCTGCGCCCCACTCGGGGGCAGCGTTCTGGGCCCTGCCCAGGCCAGCCACGCCCCCCCAGCTGGGCACACAGGCCTTGCCAGGCTGGAGAGGCCCAGGCAGAGATAACACCATGTGCCCCCCTCATGCCACGTGGGAGCCCCTCACAACTGCTGCTCATGGGGAGCTGGGGGGGGAGGTGTCAAAGGTTGAACCTGACCTTTGACCCCATGCCTATGTGGCCGGAGACCTAGCCCGCCTCTCCTGCTTCATTGTTATTGGTTCAACCGCCTGCCAGTCACCTGGCTGTCCCAGCTGATTGGTGGAGTTTGAAAACCTTCCCCGCCTCTCTCCGACTTCCTCGGCGTGTGAATGGCTGGTTTGAGCGAGCCGGGGTCTTGTGATTGGTGGGTGTTGCCCGCTCCTCTCCCACCGCCTTGCACGCAGTCCGAGCGGCGATTGGTGGGGAGGGACCGAGCCCAGCGAGCTGATTGGCCGAGGGCTTTGGGCGGGCTGGACGGAGGTTTGAAGGGCTCCTCGGGCTCAGACGTTAACGGACCCTCTGTCAGAGCGCGCGGGACCCGCTTCCCTCCCGACACCGCCATGGAGCTGGACGAGTCCCTGTCGCCGCTGCGGGTGGGTCGGGGGAGCCGCGCGCCCCTCCCCCCGGGGTGCCCCCCAGCGCCCCCTCCCCCGGCTCGGGCCCGTGGCGGCCCCGGCCGCCCCGAGCTGGCGGCTCCGGCTAACGCCCGCGCGGGGGTTTCTCTCTGTTCCCCACCAGCCCG